ACCACCACCAATGTCTACACATTGGTGTAGACACCCCCATCTGGATGATACTCTCCCCAAACACCAGCTCTCAGTGGGGAGGAGAGCAGAGTGATTAAGCCAGTTTCAGAGATGGGGATTATTAGGAGGCCATGATTGGTAAAGGCCAGGGGAAATTTAGCCAGGACACCGGGGTAACACCCCTACTCTTTTCGAGAAACACCCTGGAATTTTTCATGACCATGGAGAGTCAGGATCTCAGTTTTACATCTCATCTGAAGGATGGTGACTTTTTTTACAGTATAGTGTCCCCGTCACTATACTGGGGCAAAAGGACCTACCCAGAACATGGGTCCCCCCACTGGTCCTACTAACACCTCTTCCAGCAGCAACCTTAGATATCCCAGGTGGTCTCCCATCTGGGTCCTGGCCAAGTTCACACCTGCTTTCTCTAGATCAGCTTGGAAAGATCACTAGGATCCAATTAAACATCTAGCCTGCAGGATAACAGCAAGAATAGGCAACAAAGAATCATGGGAAGAACTACAGGAGAACCAATGTGTGGAATTTGGCTAACATACAGTACATCTCATCTGCTTTTACATCAGACGCTCTTTCTCGTGTCTTTGTAGGCTGATATTGCCTTTGAACACAGACGGAAGAATTCACACATAAAGCTCTATTCACACCAGGGCCTTGAAAGACCAACAGCCTGAGCTGAGATGTTCACAATGGAGTATTTTGTGTAAGGGGGACTGATGTTTTCAAAACAAGACAAAGGTTTCTCTGAAATCCCATTTCAGTCTGATCTAATATTTTTCTGATTCATTTTGAAAGGATAAATATTGCCTAGCTGGCTCGATAGAACAGAACAAAATCACCCTTGGACAATCCGGAGAACAAAAGCTGAAGCAGCTATAAAATCAATATACAGATCTGAACCGATCCAATTGTCTTCTCAGCTCTCTGCAGCATGAATCTTCTCCCCTGCGACATCCTCTTGCTCTCCCGACTGATCGATATTAAAACTGCGACTGCCCATTATGGACCTTTAGTGGAATGGTCAGGAAAAACAGATAGAGCCAATTCGCATCGACGTCATTGACAATCCTCGCTTGCACCTTGCCGACAGAGCGGCTATCCTGAAGTCCCATCCGGTTCTAGAAGAACACCTGGCACACAAATGGCAGCACCGTGCCAAACAAACCACAGGAAAAGGAAAGAGACGTATAGAAAAGGTGCAGAGGAGACTTCGGTGGAAGTGCAGACTCGTGCATATCTATAGGAGTCTCCATCCAAAAGCAAGGAGGCAACCTTGTCTGTGCGTGGACAGCGCTGAACACGCAGGGGCTAACAGTGGAGACATCCAGTTCTGGGATTGCTGGAAATGGGCGAAACTTGGGAATTTACCTTGAAAAACCTGGGAATTGGAGCGCAGTCACTGATATCTCTTTTCCATCCGTTCCTCCCACTATTTTCTAACTGATTTATCCAGTACAGGGTCACTGGGTTGCCATCCCAGCAAGCAACAGGTACAAGGCAGGGTGCCCTCTGGATGGGACACAGACACACATCTTCGCACAAGGGCCAGTTTTCCCCCAAAGCCAATTGGCCTACAAGCCTGTCTTTGGACTGTGGGAGGACACTGGAGCTCATGGAGGCAG